CCTTTCTCCAGAAGGTCGTCGAGTTGTGCCCGTAGCACACTTAACTCTTCCTCGCTCATTCGGTAGATGCAACCGCGCGGAGGTACAGCCCCGTCCTCGAGGATGATCTCGTGGCGGATGGACCGATCCGGTACTACTCCGTACGGGCCTTCGAACACGTCGTCGTAGGCGTCGAGAAACTCGATGATGCGTGGGTCCGAAGATGAGTCCGTCGATGAAGCGTCATGGGGCGGGAGGGCGTGGAGAAGACACACCCCCATCTCCTCAATGTCGTCTCCGATGATGGAAGCTCACATGCTTGCGGCGAACACCACGTGGCAGCTGATCGAAGGGTGAGGAGGAGCCACAGTGCATGGGACTAGTACTCCGTTCCGATCATGAACGTGAACTGTGCGGCGGTAGAAGTTCACCGGGTGATCCTCGCTTTGCAGCCATGACATGCCCAAGATCATGTCGAATTTGGTGTCCAAAATATCGAAGGACACCGCCTCGCTTGCATGCGGGGAAAAGTACACGGGGACGTCATCTATGCACCTGTCTATTGACTTGTGCGTGTGACCGTCTGCCAACGTGACATGCGTAGGCTGGGACTTCCTCCGAACGCGTCGGCCAAGGCCGGCGTGTACCATAAAGTTCTGGCTCATGTAGTTGCGAGATGCTCCGCAATCGATCAAAGCGCTTCAGGTCGCCTCTCCAATCTGAATGCGTACATATAACAATGGTGTGTTGATGTCGTTGTACCGTTGTGTCTTAAACTCGCGGTCGATGTTCGCAATGTAGGCGTGAAGGTTGACAACCTCTACTCCGGCGCCCATCAACGGAGTTGGTACTACAGTGTGCAAGTAATCCCGCAATTGTGCCATGAGCACGTTGCAATGCGGTTTCGGCAATCGACCGGACCGGGGAAGGGGCATCCATTGGAAGTCCGCAAATGTCAACGGGTCGAGCTCTTCAAGTCTTGACCATGACGTTGAATCCCCGACGATAGATGGCAGCGAAGCTTCCGAATCGGTTGCTGATAATGATGAAACCATGCATGCGGTAGATTGTTGCATGTGGAGCGGTTGGTCCAACGGTGGGACCAAGGGGACAGCATAATCCTCGTAAGTGTACCGAGGGCTTGCGACATTCGCATCCTCCCCAGATGTGTAGGAGGCCGCTAGCAATGCGGCCGAATCAGGCGGAGTGAGAGGTGGAGTCGCCTCACCTCCCGCGGAACTCAGTTTCCCGAGTTGATACGAGGCCGAACATCCTCCTTGCCTTGATCCGGGCATTGGGAGGTCTTGTGCTTGGTACTGTTGCACCAACAGCAGCAGCAGTAGCGACCGCGCCACTTGTATTCCGCCTTAGTCAAGTGAAACTTGACCCATGGTGCTGGTTGTCCGTTTCCGGCCGGCGATGCGGTTTTCGCCTTCCCGTTCCCTCGGGACTTGTTGTTGCTTCCCGGCTGGACAGCAGCCACCTGATCTCCCTCACGTGAGGCTTGGGTGGCTGCCGGGTCTTCCACAATGTTGTTCGATTGGACTGCAGCGACATGTTGCGGTCGCGGAGCAGTTTTCACCTTCTCCACATAGGTTGGCTGCCATGCTGATTTCTCATGTGCAGCTGCCCTATTGGTC